AAACAAATTGTCGCTATTGTTTCTTCTTTCCACAAAGCGGCGATTTCAAAAAACATAATTTCTGCATTTTATATCTGTGGGTTTGTTAAAACACAAATTGCGTCAGACAAGGAAACAACAAAGGATGAACATGAGTACAGAATGTATTATAAAAAGGAACATGCGCGCCATATTAGAGAATTCATGAATGAACCATATTCAGTGGTAACAGAACATTTTACAGGTCGTCTTTCGGTTCAAATCCAAGATGTGGAGAACCGTTATGAAAAGAGAATCAGTGGGAACAACTTAAATTAATTGTGTGGTTATTTTAGATGGTTTTATTGATCATTTTAAACTATAAATAATAAGTTAATAACTAATACTTATTAATATTGTATTTTTGTTTGATGTAAGAAATACACATTTAACCATCGAAGTGTTCTTAACATTCTATTACTTCGGTGAGTATTCAAGAAAATTCATCAGAAAAATCATTTTTCAAAGTGAATCTTTTGTGTAAATAAATTGTTTTAAAAGCCGTACGACAATTTTATGGTGGTCGACCATTTTGTGATGCACTTTAGTACAAAACATAATTAATAAAAAAAATATATTATAACTCGATAAATAGACATGTTTGGAATCGGATCTACAGCAAAACAGGTAATAAGAAGTATTATTTAAATTAAATAATTAACCTTCACACCTTTTGGAATATAATAAAAAACAATTGACTCGTGTTAAATGTTTTATTTAGTTAATAAAAACTATACAATTGATAATAGATGGAATAAAGTTCGAGAACATAAAATAAATAAGGAGACGAATAAAGACGTAAAAAGCGTGATTTGCAACTTTAAGATTACAATATTCACATTATATTAATTAAATAATCCGATTATTGGCATTTAGTTATTATGAATTAAAACATATATTTTAATAACTATAATTTTATATTATTTTTAAGAATTAAAAATTAAATAAAAAATTTAAGAATTAAATGAAAAAAAGTAAAAAACAAAATAATAATTGGTAATTGTTATTCTACAATGCCGAAAAAGACAAATTTTTATATTATCATGCTTATTATTTATTTTTCTTTGCCAAAAAACTGCTCTATTTATATCGGCCAATTCCATCCTGGTTTGGCACACCCTGTAAGTCTGATTTCTAATTAACGATACCCCAAAAATACAACAAGGAAATTTTCTATATCTGTTTTTTTATATTATAATATATAGTATCGACCATCGCTAATTAAAAACCATAAATACATAGTAAATTTCTTATTAATTTTTACCATTTGACATTCTCAAAGATACTAGTTGTCGATCTTTTTCTTTGCTTTTCAAATCAATCGGTATAACCTATTAATCGCCTTATAACAATGACACTTATGTGATTAACTATATTAAATGGTCTGCCGGTTGTGTTGATATTACTCGGAAATTGGCCAGATAAGATATTACGAACTTCACATTTCTTGCTTTTCTTTTTTGCACGTGTAATGTGGTTAAAAAGTAAAAAATTTTAAAAATAAAACAAAAAAATTATTATTTCGAAAAAAAAAACTATTAATTATAATTAAAAAACTAAATATATAGTTAATTTTCTCCATCGTTAATTAAAGATCCGACTTTATAAGAAAGTTAGAAAAATGAAACAACACAAACTTAACTAAATGGTGAGGATTTTCTTTTTTGGAACAAGTGCAGGGAATCAGCACGATTTATATCCTACTAAAAAATAACCTGATTATTCTATAAATTTTAATTTTTTATTATTTAGTTGGGAGGGAACTAATTAACAAAGCATATTGGGTCGGTAAAATGCACGAGCAAAGCGAAGTACATGAAACCGACCCAATATATAGAATATTTTCAAATCAATTTGTTATAAATTCTTTGGCAATACAAATAAAATTGTAAATTTTATAAATGAATAAATTTTTTAAACTTGTTATTTTCATTTTTAAATCTTATAAAATAAATTGGTAATAATTTATATTATAACGATAAATAATAAAATAAATTTTATATATTTTACACCAAAATGATATAGTAATTTAATTATTAATAATAATAAATTTATAATTATACGTGTAAATATAGAATGAAATAAAATAATTACAGATAGCACTAAGGCCAATGCGGCGAGGTTTCTTCTTCCAGACCACAGTTTTCTGGGTTCGATTCCCGGTTAGTGCTAGTTTTTGTTTTTTTGTTTTTTTTTATTATATTTATTAATTTTTTATAAATTACATTAAAATCTTTACAATGTTTATCTTAAAAATAATAAAAGTTTTAGGTTTTTTATTTTAAGTTTACGATTTGTTTTTTTCTTTATATATTTATATACTGTATTATATTATATAGTTCATTATAAGTTACATTAATATCAACTTTATTTCAATTTTTTAAAATGGTCATAAAATTTTTTAGATTTATATATATAGTATATAAAATGTTCGATATTTTCACGTTTAAAACATTTTAAAAGTTTAATAAAAAACAAAATTTTCATAAAAAAACACAAACTATTTAATGTGCTAAATTTAACTATATTAAATTGTACAATTTTTACTCTTCAATCATCCCTTCCAAATTTGTGAGAGAATTTCGAAGTGCAATAATCACAAAGTTGATCTGATTGAATTGTCTATTTCGCTGCGTTGAACTTCGTGTTTTCAAAAATTGTTGAGTTGTTTTTGTGACTTTTCTTCTTAGCAAAATTGGCAAGTCGTTTTGTTGAATGAGTTTATTTTGTAGAAGTTTCGTTATTGTTGAAACTGCCACTGTTCTCACATTTGGGTTTGTTGAGTTGGAAAGAGAGATGAGGAGTTTGAGAATTTCGTTTTGTATAACTGTTGCAAATTTGGACAAAACGCGAAGTACGACAATAATTCCGTCTTGAAGCACACTTTCGTCTTTGTGGAAAAAAATAAATTTCATGAATTCCAAAACTCCGATTTTTAAAACGACTCTTTCGGTCTCGCGTTTCCAAAACACGTCGTCAAAGTCGCAAAACGAAAACACAAAAAGTGAAAGTGAAATTTCATCGAATTTTGTTATAAATTCGAATGCGAAAGAAATACATCGAACTTTTTGCGTTTGTGAATTTTCGTTTTGGAAAACCGTTTCGACGTACTTCTTGACGAGTGGTTTATAGATTTTGTCATTACATATGACTGGTATTACTTTATTAACATTTTTATATTTTTGGTTTTGCAGTGCAAGCATTGCGTTTTGGATGAGGAAAAAGTGCGCACAAATCGTTTTTCTGAAAATGAAAAATCGCAAAAATTCTGGCAAATCCTTCGTTTTTTCCAACAAAACGTCATTTTCGAGGTATTTTGAAATTAATGCATTGATATTTCTCCCGCAGATTCCTCTCAAAAAATGTGACGTGTTACATATTGAAATAATATCTTCGGCATTCAAAAATTTGAACAGCTCGACTATCGTTTTTTCGTTGTCCATCGTTTTTTCAGTTTTTCCCACTTTCAAAATTTATTTAATAATAAAAACATGGTAAAAATATTAATAACTACTAGTTTAGATAAGTAACACGAAAAAAGGAAGGAGACACGCAATATTGAAGAATTTCCAATGGAAAAAGAGTAACACGAATGCGAAGTCGATAAGAGCAGCCAATTTCGTGATAATATTATTTTCTTTATCCACAAATCTGACGAGTAATGACGCAAACAGTAAAACACTGAACCACAAATAAGTTGAGAAAAAGCACCCAACTAAAGAAACCATAAGAGGTACTAATAAGTAATAAAAATTTTCCCACACGAAGAAAAAAGCTTCTCCAATAGCATTAAAGACTTGACCAAGTGTGTCATACCTCAAAAAAAGAAATGAAAAATAGAGCATTGGTGTTATACAATTGATTGAGGAATTAGGATTAGGGTTCTCTGTGAAGTGTTTATTGATGCTATTCATCGCTAGGAAAATGACAGAGAAGCACCCATAGAGTACTAAATTCTCCTTTTTGGGTTCAGTCCACCTTGTAAACATAGTCCCGCAAATGAGTGAAAATGATGCTAAGATAAATATCAAGAACATCTCCGAAGAGTCGAAAAAGAAGTCTCCAACGCCAGCAATATTATAAAGTCGCGACCCCATCTCAACGGCTCCAATCATGAAGAAATGGACATATGTCAAGTTGTGTAAACAGACCACTTTATAAGGAGTCTCTTGTATACTAGACTCATCCCTTGGGTCATACCCCATCTCTTTGTTAAACCCATCATCTTCAGTTATTATTACACCAGGTGACATTAACATGTGAGATGGAGAATAATAAAAAAACCCTTTGAGTTCATTTGGAATATGTTTTGGAGAAACTAGTTCAGTTGTCAACGCAATGTTGACATGTTTCTGGGTGACTGTTTTACTGAATGAAATTGTATTGACTTTGTCTGTGAGTAACACTTCGATATCATCACTATCACTAAATGAAAAACACGTTTTCGACTCAGATTCCGGCACACTGAACTGATGGTGGACTTCACCTTGTTTAACAATAACACTAAAATTGGAATGTTCAAATAATGGACTCATTATACTCGGTTGCTTAAGTAAATAATTGTTGTACAATGGGGCAAACATATATACCAATGGGAGAGCAACCAATAAAAAGAAAAATTGAAATGTTTGGACGTGGTACATTTAGACTTCTTTTCACAGTTCTTTTTAAGTTTTTATCGTCATTCACTTTTCAATTAATTATATATAATATATAATATATAATATATAATATATAATATATAATATATAATATATAATATATAATATATAATATATAATATATAATATATAATATATAATATATAATATATAATATATAATATATAATATATAATATATAATATATAATATATAATATATAATATATAATATATAATATATAATATATATTATATATTATATAATATATAATAATGATATATTTTTATATTATTTGATAATAATTTATTAATTTATAGTAAATAATTTGTTTCCTTAAATATTAAAATTATAGATAGAAATAACTTTTTTAACTATAAATTAAGCTAAAAAATAAAACCAAAGAACTCACCATATTATGAAAGTCAAGATTCAATAGTGTTCAGGGTTAGAAAAATAATTGTATTAATAACTTAATAAACAGAATTATGTCAAAACCATATCAACCACTAACTCAGAAATTTATCTGCTCTACTTGTTGTGTTCAATTTGATACTTCGGAGGATCGTAACACACATTATAAAAGTGATTATCACGTCTTTAATTTGAAGAGAAAGGCGGTCTTGTTAGACCCAATTTCTCAGTCTAAATTTGCGGAGTTAACAAAGAAGGACACAGCCACTCCAACAGAGGTCTTCACATACTACTGCTCGGCGTGCAAAAAGAGGTACCAAACTGAAAACCAGATGAAGGAGCACGAAAACTCGAAGAAACACAAAGCGAACCTTAAAAAGAAAGAAAACCCTACCACCGTGATTAAGAAGGAAAAAGTCGAGCAAGAGGACGAGGACCCATACGCTGACCTTCCTGAACAAACGATAGATGAGATGATTCAAGAACGTAAGTCCTTAGCGCCGAAGATGACGTCCAAGAACTGTTTGTTCTGTGACTTAGAGAGTGAGAGTCCAGAGAAGAACTTAGAGCATATGGATGTCGAGCACAACTTCTTAATTCCAAATGTCGAGTGTTGTTGTGACATCAATGGACTGATTCAATATCTCCACGAGAAGATATGTATTGGGTATTTGTGTATTTGGTGTTCACACGAGACGTCGAGCTTCCAGTCATATCAAGCTGTTCGCGAGCACATGATTAACGCTTGTCATTGCAAGATGTTGTATGAAACAAAGAACATAGAGGAATATGACGACTACTACGAATACATTGAAGACCCCAATCAAGTCCAAATCATATCAGTGGATGACACTACTATGGAGTTATCTAATGGACTCGTCATTGGTCATCGTAGTTTGGCTAAGTATTATAATCAGAACATTCGACCCGTCGAGACACGTGAATGCGTGTTGGCTAACAAAGGAAAGAACGTCCCTATATTACCGGGTGGTGCTAAAAATTTGAATATCCCAAATGCTCAAGCACTCATGAAAATGCCAGAAAAGACCTACGTCGACTACGTCAAGAATGTCCTGAGAAAGCAACTCGTCACTAAGAAAATCAGAAGGACAAACAGGAGATACTCAGAAAGTGGACTAAACTTGGAGTACACTCAAATATGCTCTTTAAACCGTGCAGTCAAACAAACGTTTAATGAGCTAAAACTCCACTATTGATTTGATTTTGTTGGTGTATTTGAATTTAACGAAATTTTTCAATTAACCAATACTTTAAAGTTTTTCGTTAATATTAATTCTACTATTTATTAAATAACTAGTAACTAAAAAAAATAAAAAAATAAAAAACAAAAACTAGCACTAACCGGGAATCGAATCTGGAAAACTGTGGTCTGGAAGTAATTTTCGATATTGAGTTATTAATTTTTTTTGAATTATAATTATCATTTATTAGCATTAAAATAAAAAACCAAGAATTCAATTATGCATTTCCAATTTGACTTGTTATTGGATTAGCATTAAAATAACTATAAATTAATTTAAAATTTATATAAAAATTATTTATCTATTTTTTGTTTTTAAATATTCACAAATAATACAAAATCTTTTTCATTTTAAATATCAAAAAAATACAAATGGATTTTTATTAGTTATTATTATTATAACATATAATAATATTTTAGTAAATTAAATGTTATAAGTCTAGGTCTATAAATTATAAAATTGAAGGTTAATATATTAGTTAATGAAACCATTAAAACCGACTCAATTGTTAAGAAGAGGAAGAATATACTTAATTAAAATCCATCGACTGGTCTGAATCAATCTCTTCATACAACGAGCCTGGCTGCTCGACTTTTGTTGTTGAATGTTTAAACATGATCTGGTGAAAGCCAATACACATCAACAAAACACAATAAGTGTTTGCGATTTTGACAAGAAACCCCGGTATGGCTGTCGGTCAATACAATTAAACGTGTTATATGACATTACTACTTAATAATTTGCTGATAAGGAAACAAACGGAAATCATTTGTGGTGTTTCTAAGAAAGAGTTGTAAGAAACAATCGACACTGACGATGAAGCTAAGGGGTGCCAAGTAAAAGAGTCTTTTTCTATTAATAGGGTTAGTGACTTCTGTGAAAGAAAATAGTATGAGTAACACCACCCAGAAGAGTAACACAAATTCGAGGAAATCAGAAACACCTCTGACGTCATTTGCTAAATTGGACGTTGAAGAGACTAACGGAGACCTGTTTTGTAATAACCGTACAAAGAAAAAGGTGATAGAAAGTGCGAAGAAGCATACCAACACTATCGAGCGCAAGACCCATTGCATAATAGGATATGGTGCGTCGATAGCCAAATACTTGAGATGGTCGATGTGGAAGAAAATGTAGACGACTAGAATGAATGTGTATATCTCTGATAAGAAGTCGCCGAGTAAAGAGAGCCACATGAAGTTTTCGAAATATCCAATCAGTTCAAAAGGGTTCGAACAGAGTGCTGAGCCGAGTAAGAGTAATGCGTTGAACCAGACATATATCGTCCATTGCTTTGTTACTATTGCGTGTATCACGAATGCTATTAAGACGATAAGAATGGTGACTATTAACACTAAAGTGACAGTAAGAGACAATAAAGTCGACCAAGGCTTTGCCTTTGCCGTGTTAAATTCCACTTCAAAGTTGTTTCTCTCGATCTCCCCAGAAGAATCGATGATGACAATCGAAATGATGTAACTGGCCTCTTTAACGGCTTTGTCAGAAAATATGACCATATCCTCACAACTAAATATGTAACAAGATGTCACCATTTGTTGTTGACTAGTGTACACGTCGTACGTGTCATCTGTCACGATCGAAAGTCGAGTCCGCGTGTCAAATGTGATGGTTGTTCTATTCATTGTATTTTCCGGGCGAAGAGACATCGAGAGCTTTACCCATTGATTGTACACTGAAAGGGATACGTTTTGTCGAAGTAAGTACTCGCCATTCGTGAAATTATTTAAGTTGACAATTACAGGGACTGCTGTATCATCCAATATCGATAATGTGTTGCAGTACGAAAGACCAAGTGTTGTTGCTATTATCACAAAAGTAGTCACTCCTAACACTATAAATTCCTTTTTGCGCATTCTATCGACCACAAGATACTCTATCATGAAAATCCAGTCTTGTTATGGAGTTATTTTTATTAAGATTTAATCCTTTAGTTGTTTATTAGAATTTACTAACTTTTATATTGTAATTTTTCTTGTGTTTTTAGGAACTTTCCAGTCCGTTCTTATTAATAAGTATATCATTCTAATTAGTATTATTTTTTAAACAAGACAGGTTTTATTTATTATTATTATTTGTTTTATTTGAAATGAAATAATTTGTTTCATTCTTTTCTTCCATTTAATCAAACCATTATTGACTCGATTGTATAAAACAACTATATTTTGTAATTTTTTTTGTTATAAAATATAGTTCAATGATTTAATTTCATCAACTAATAATAATAGTGTCTTATTCAATAGTAATAATAATAATAATTTTACTAAACAAACAAAGATTAAACTGTTTTAGGAACTCATTTTTTACCAAAAATTCACATTAAAAATGTATTTAAAATCTATTAATACTCAATTAGAATATATATATATATATTATAAAATAACTATCATTTGTACTAAACAAGTAAATCATAAGAACTATACACTAACTTACTAAACGACTGACTTAATTCCAAACAACACAATTCGCAAAGTCGTTTTGTTTTGGGTACCTTACAGCACAGAGACAATTAGCCTTACAATTTCCGTTACATTCAAACCCGGGTGTATCTCCTCTGAAGTGTTTGTGATACTTCTCGAACAGTTTTTCGTCCTTTTCCATTCTAGCAAACAACACCTCAAACTCGCTAGGACTCAAACTGTTCACCCCATACTCCGCGCTTGATTCGTAGTTGAACTTCCACTTATTATATTTATCTGTCTTCACTTCTTTGCCTTTTTCTCCCTTCTTCTTCCCTTTTGGTCTTAACAAAAAGTTGTAGTTCTTGAACGAAGCCATGAACCCAGTCCCATCGCCCATATCAACTTTTCTAATCGATGGGGATGTACCAAGCCAAGTGTCTACCGACGGTCCAATTAAGGCCAAAATCTTCTTATTGCCACTCCCGACTATTCTGAATGTGTCGGTATGGAGATGTCCACAGATGATACCGGATGTGATGTCACTATATTCGGACAAAAGGTCGACAAGTCGATCATTATATTGTGGATATAATTGATCGGAGTAGTTAAACCTCTCAGCCACACCAGGACAGATATGCATCGCAACTAAAGCTCTTTGCCCTGTTTTTCTAAATCCGTCCATAGTGTTGCGGTACCACTCAAATTGCCCAAGCGGGTCTGTCCCGTCCATCGTCTGTTTGTTGTAATTGTAATATAACACAGTGTTCAACACAACAACATTTAACTGTTTTTTGATCCCAAGTTTGGCTGGAAATTGCATGTAATAGTACCCGCCGTGTTTGAAACTCTCCAATGCGTCTTTTGTCAGAAATGGCACCCACAAGTCAGCAGCGTAGTTGAACATCCACTGCGAGTTAATAGCCATTTGATTCGCAGGAAACACGTCGTGATTCCCCAAAACAGGTACAACAAAATAGTCGGGAAATTTCCTTAAAAAGGTTGTGATATTTTCGACTGCGTTCTTCACCGTGTCTTGGTTGTAATTTGGAAGTGCTCGTGACACTATATCACCCGTGTATAATATCACTTTACCATTAATGTCAGTATTCGCCTTCATAAAAGAGACTAACGTCTCCATTAAAGCGTTGTTTGCGTCACACGAATAGTCTCCATACTTCCCACTGTTCCCTTTCCCACCACGACATAACTGGAGGGGGTCACTGTGTGTTTTGTAAAGTGGGTCAAGGTGGACGTCTGTTAAATGCCACATCTCAAACGATACAACAGAACTCAGGAAAAACGTTAGAACCACTAGTAGAGTATGTTTACCCATCCTCTTTTCGATAGTATAAATTATCTAGTTCAACTATCCTCTTGATTTTATCTCGAATGGGTCTTTTTATTGTATTAAAATTTGTTATAAAATTTACTACATTTTATAATACTTTTATTTATTAAAAAAAGTGAAAAGAAAAATTTTTAAAATTTTTTTTGTAAAATAAATTTTTTTAATAAAAACGACCGTTTGTGTGTTTGTGTGTTGATAGTTTTATAATATATAACATTATAATAAATTAATTAAAAGAATTACTAATTTTTAAGTGTTTTTTAGAGCAAATTTGATGGTTTTGTGAGGTGTTTTGTGTTTTTTTAAAATAGCACAAACTATAAATAAAGCTTCTATTTTCAAATAGATTCTTAACAGGTGGTGTCAATGTGATACAGCGGGAATTTGCTTTTAAAACAACTAAAAAAATGGTAAAAGAATTAATAAAGTATAGTAAAAGAAGTCTAAAAAAAATGGAAAACAACAATACAAAGCAAACGGATTTTGAAGTCCAAATTGAACAAATCGATTGAGCGAAATTATCATTCAATCACCAAACATAGACATTTCATACGAAAATTGATTTAAAAAAACACCATTAGCATAATGGGGTGTAATAGAACATCCAAAATATACCAACAAAAAACTGAAAAGACAAACATGAGAAGTCATCATTTGATTTGCATCTTTTTTGCGTTGTTATTACCACTAACCCTTACGTTGTACACTTCGGAAAAGACTTCTCCTCAATCGCCATGTGTTTATGGCTATCATTTCAGCTCAAAAATGCCAAATAATGTTCACCCATGCTACGACTTTAACAACAACTCGACACTTGTTGAAGGCCTCATCCTCGAGCTTCAAGTGTACTTCCCGAAGTCTTTTGTCACTGGTGGGTTGTTTTCTCGGTGTGGGGAATGTCTTGAATTGTCGTCGACTGGTGGGGAGAGTTACCGAGTAATGATAGCAGGGTACCACACAGAGAGTGATCCCAAAATAATATATGGGACGGATGCCATGTTCGAGCAGTTGAGTGCCATTTCAGACGAGGTTGGCATCATCCCAGTCTCTTTTCAGTTCACCGAATGTCCCTTTGGAGTAAAACCATCACTTGTTATTAAACAAGTGATAGGAAATAATATCGTTGTGCAACCAGTGAACACCGTCGTCCAACACAATAAGATGGCTATTGGCAGTGATGAGTATCTGCAAGATATACTCACAGGGACGTACACAATTCCAGTGACACAAGAGACCGATGTCAAGTTAGTTTCGTTGCAACGAATCACAATTGTATTTCCAAAAGTGCACCCAAAATTGGCCTCTTTTCAGGCTCTTACACAGTTCCCTCGCTACACAACAAACACACAATGCCAATTCATTCCCGAAAATTTGCTGTTTGAAAATAACACCGAGTTGGAACACTTAGACGAGTTGTTTGTGTGGCAACTCTACAGAGTGACCCCGTCTCTAAGACTTGTTCCAATCACTTTCGATAATGGAGAATTCACATTTTCTTTCTCCACTGAGAATATACAAGTTGTCTTGGGATACCCTAGTTACTTCCAACTGAGCAGGTATTTCAGTTTGCTAGAATTTCGATTCATATCTGACTGTGCTGTGACTTTTGAAGAGGCTGAATTATTCACACTTGCCGACTTGAAGAAGTTTGACACTGACAAAAAAGTCAAATGTTCGAATGTGTTATCGTCTTTTAGATCAAAAGAGTACAAAAACAGTGTTGGAAATGTTGTGTTATACGGCAATTTGCTGAAAATTAATGTCGACTCAACATGTTCTGAGTATGTCAATTTTGTGAGTATCAAACTTCTTGGTGTGATAGGTGGAACGGTCACTGTAAACAGAATAGGGTTTCAACAAAAAGAGAGTCTAAACAACGTGATGGGATGTAACGCATCCTCTGCGATGTGTCATAATGAGTGTAGTTCTTCAAATGAAGAGTGCCAAGTATTTTGTGGAAAATGCCCAGCGGGAAAGCAGTGTGTTGAAGGTAGTTGTGTCATTCCTAAGACCAACACAAGGTCTGGCGCTTTAACGGTGGAGATGTACTTCGTCGTCGCAATCGCGCTGTTTCTTGTCTAATATATTTTTGGTGTTTTCATTGCGACAAAATTTCTATTTATGTTAAAAGTTGAAATAAAAGTGACATTTTTCAAATAGTATTGTTTGCTTTTTCTATAACACAAAACATTGATATTTTTAGATTTTAAAACAGAAAGAATGACATAAGAAGACAAATTAATACAATTACAGAGATAAAGAGGGAGCAAAAGACCTCTTAAGATACTCATCAAACTCTTTGTCTTCATAGAAACCCGGATTTGATACAGCTCGCCTAGGCTTTCTAAACGAATTGAAGTCGTATTCGGCGTTGTATTCCACTATCTCTTCTGTCCGAAGTGGTGACTTTTCACGTATTGTGAGTGTATAGAACTTTTTCTTCTCTTGAGTCTTACTTAAGAGGTGCTGATAGTACTGCGAGTTTTGCATATTTGATTATAATAAGTGAGTTCTGCTTTTCTTAAATTTACATCAGTAGGTTTTTTTCGCTGTCCAAAACTTTTCTTCTACAACCCTTCTACATCGTTTTCACCACGAAAGAAGTCTCAAATATGTGGGGTGTTTCCAATTTAACTGGTTTTGTTGATTTGTGGAGAATGGGTATAACATAATCCTATTTTTGTTTCTTGATTATTTTTAAAATAGGATCTAATTGTTGAAATAAGTTATAAAACCAGTTACGTATTATTGGTTGTATTATTTATTTTATCACATTTTTGTTCAAAATAACTTAACTTCATCAATTCTTTATTGAATAACTCTTCTGCTTATCGCATATTTACAGGAAATATTTTTGTTTGAAGTTTTACAATAAAAGATACTTTTAAAAGTATAACGAACTTCAAATCTTACAAACCAGTTAACATCTTTAAGGTACTCACTCTATAACCCTTGCGTTTTATCTTTTCTGCTCTTTTGTTGGCAACTTGGTTTTTAATTTTTGATGTTTGACAAAACACTTTACTGGTTTTTTGGACTCCAAAAAGTTGATCAAAAGAAGTCTTGCTTGAAAAATAAATTTCGGACACTTGAGAAGATTATTTGTGTTTTGAATTTTCTATAAATCTAATGAACAAATTCAACCAGATTAGAAAAAACAAATGACAATTAATACACACAACACTATACCAACTGATGTACTTCCACTTCTTTTATTCGAGGAGACAACCTTTTCACAAATGCCTTTATTACTGCACTCATATCCAAATAAGCATCTTCCACAGTTTGGTTCACAGCCTGGCTTAAATCCAATTTCAGGATATTTTGTCGCATTCATTGTGCAGCTGTACTTCGAGCAGTCTGCAGACTCTATTCCACACTCTGTAAAAACAGTCTCGTCTCTTTTTGTAAAAGCACTTTCAACAATAGTCAGCGATGTTCCTTCCCCAGTTTCTACACTGCATAACACAAGATTTGCTGTATGTTAGATTCTCTTGTATCTCTGTTATCTGGCAAGTTAAGAACAGTACAGAACAAACCGTATCGGAAGCACTCGTCGTTATTGAAATTCAAAGTGATCAAGACGTGTGTGTCGTTTATCTGTGTTTCATTTGGTTCGGGAGCGCAAATGGTCGTGTTGATCTTTCCCGCAATCTCCGAGTATTCTGTGAGTAACAACACCCATTTTTTGATTGAGTAATTCTTCTTACTGAATTTCAACATCAGTTCAAGCTTCTTCATTGTCTGTCCAAATTTAAAAGCAGTCGGATATGCTATTCCAAGTTTCGAATTGAAGTAGTCGGGTATTACAACATTTCTCACAGTTGTGTCGAAATTGAACGTCGACGTTTTGTTTGCTAAGTAAAATTTCCACAAGAAGAACCTTCTGACTGGCGAGATTAAAGCAGGGTTGACAGTCCAATCACTCAAAACTTGTGTCTCTGGAGAGAAGAAACAGTTATTAGGCGGCGCCTCGACTGGAAATTGTGTTTCGGCGTAAAACGAGTGATTGACGTCCAATGAGTTAACCCCGAGAAATCCAATTTTGACGTTGTTGATACCGACAAGCTGAATGTTGATGTTACTACGAGCCGGGATTGTATAAGTCCCATCGGTGTTCATTTTGAACTCCTCAAAATCGACAATCATGATCTTGTGAAGTACATCTGTATTAACCACTTGCACCGTCGACATCTTTCTATCTATTGTGAAGAAAGTGTTGATGATATAAAGCACGGGGATCACCTCGGAAGTGCATCCGATGACTCTTAAACTGACTTGTGAGGCATGATTGAATGACGAATGGATGTTGGTTGCGATGTAATTGTAATTTGCGTTCGATAGAAAGACGACGGATTTGAGGTCGACGTCTGTTAAGTTGTTCTCTTCCTTCTCTTTAAAGAACCCCGTGACAACACATTTGAAGGGATTTTGTGTCGAGCCTGTTAACTCTAAACACTGCCCACAACGGGTGACGTTCAGACTTTGTGTTGAATAAAATGCATAAGACTCGTGAATGTAGCACTCACGGTGTGTGACATAAGAGTACACTTTCGTTTCATAATCGGGGACATTTGTAAAACAATTTTGCGTGATTTGAACTTGACTCGCTACCATCCCATTCGGCGAGTCGACGTTGTCTTTGATCGCAGTGTACCACCTCGTCTGTCTATCAGTTTGCATTTTATTTAATTTCAAAAGTAATATAAACGTATATATATAGAGTCAAAGAAAGAACAAACCATACATCCAGATAACTGGGAGTGTGTAGGAAGAGCAACAACAAAAAGAAAAAAGAGTGCTAAGTCCATTGGTGAAGCCAAATGAATTTATTAGGTTGAAAGCTCCTTCATGTTAGTTGTGAATCAAAAAATCAAAACCCCGAGTAGTCGGGGAAGTTTCAAAGACACGGAAAACACTAAGAAAAGGATATTCAAATAACTAAAGAAACTAGTTTTGTTAAACCATTTTTAACCATATTTTTGTAATCATTATCTATTTTTAGAATACCAAAATGTGATTAAAATAACTCACTTATCAAAATAATTCTTGTTTTTATATTATTGTTTATTAGAAATTCTATTGTTTGTCATAATTTGTTATTTAACTTTTTTCCATCTTTTTTTCATTTTATTAATAATTATGGTTTTAATATAATTTAATTTACCATTGTATTATTTTGTATATATTTGGAAAAATATATTTTTAATTTAATATTTAAACTCATATAAAAAGTCTGAATTATGCGAAAATCCAGCGAAGTGTAAAAAAATTTGTTTTCTTTTCACACATTAAATCCCGAATATTAGACAAATTCATAGTAAAATTTATTATTAATTAATTACTTGTCAATATTGCAATTGGTAAGGAACTAAAAAGTTTTAATTAAAGCAAAATAACCCATCATTTTAAGATAATATAGTGTATACCGTTAAATATTATAAAAATATAAAAAGAAGAGAAAACAGACAATATTTGCTTATACAAACCATACTCAAGCTTCAACAGTCATTGTTGTTTTCACACCAATTTAAATCTAAAGTGGTATTATGTTGTTTTAGAACACTTTAACATATTTTATTCATTATATTTCATTGTTTAAACACTACTTTATTGAGCAGAGTATTGAATATACATTAAAGTATAAAAAGGGTTTTAAGTTCAAAGAACTTCAAAAAATCAAACAGCGATGTCACGAATGGTTTTCAACACAAAAGGAAAAGATCACACAATTAAGCGGGACGTGTTACACGACATTTCTGCGTCGTCGTCCTACAAAATCGGAAGCACGCACATCGTGTGTGGAGCGACAACAAGTGTCCACAAGAAAGTGAATGACGGTTCAAACCCTATTTTATTTGAGACGAAGTTGCAGTCGAGTGGGTTATCCAAACAAGCATCTCCGAATATTCAAAGTGTCGAAGTATGGATGAACGAAGTGTTTAATGACCCAGACTTGTTTTCTAATGTTAACAGACTTGTCGTTTCAACTCCAGACAACCAAACGTGTTATTACCAACAAGTGCATTTAGTTCTTTATATCATTGATGATGATGGCTGTGTGTTCGACGTCGCTATCTTAGCTGCAGTTTCTGCGTTGCTCCAACGTTTGTTTTTAATATGTAATATCTGTGACTCTTCGTATTTTCAATTCCAGCGAATACACTAAAGTAAAGTGAATTTAAATGATATCACAATCGGAGTCGATGGGCTCTGCCAAATTGTGAAAGGCTCCGAATATAAACTCGACTTCGCATATCACCCGGTCCCCTTCTCATTTTTCTTGCAAAATGGCGATGGTGTGCAACAAGCTTATTTGTCGTTTATCCTCAGTGAAGACAAAGTAAATCACGTCAGCATCCATGGCGGAAAGGCACTCGTTTCGACAGATTTGTTATGCGGATGCATCACAAAGTGTAGGACGGTATACCAGACGTATCTGGACAGACTCCTCAACTGATTGGTAACTTGGACATTTTCCATTTCGTTTAATAAAATTTACTATACCACTCGATTTTGGTATAGTAAAATTATAATTTAATTTTACTATACCATGAATTAATTATTTTAATTTATTCATAGTTTGTATAGTTTAAATTATAGTAAAATGTTATTTATTTATAGTTTACTATTTTTCTTTCAAAGAGCCAACTCATCATAAATGCCACTCGGAAAGCATTTTGGTAGTCACTTCTGGTCTTTTCAATTATCAATGATTTTATACTCATTTATGAAACAATTATAATTCTATTAGTACTTTGAATATCACGAAAAAGCTAAGAAACAAATAAGAAATAAAATTGAACCGACAAATTCGAACAACGACAATAAAACCTGCCACGTCATGTAGTCAAAAACTTGGAAAAGAACTATTAAAGTTAAGAATGGGTAAGAACACAGGAGCGTATTTACTAGGTGTCTTGGGGGCGATAGTCTCTGTTATTACAGTCATCCCTGCACTCATGTTTTTGTGGAGGATGGTGATCAGACCACTTTTGTTCAAGCCGACGACGAAGGTTTATAAGGGGACGGAGACATATGCTATAGTCACGGGAGCAGCTGGTGGAGTTGGGAAAGGCTTTACTGAGAAATTAGCGAAGGAAGGGTTCAACTTGATAGTGATAGATAGAGACGAGAAGGCGCTGAATGAAGTAGCGAAGGTGATAGAAGAGAAATACAAAGTGAAAGTAGTAGTGAAGGTGTTGGACCTCATTGCTATGGAAAGAGGAGATGAAACAGCATGGACCAAATTTATAGAAGAGATCACCCCTCTTGATATTGGTGTGTTAGTTAACAACGTTGGCATGTGCCAATATTTACCAGGGAATTACGACACTGTTGCATTGAAAGACGTCAGAAATATGATCACATTGAACATCTCATCGATGTTGACATTAACACACTACGTCATTCCTTTGATGTTGAAGAGACAACAAAAGGGATTGATCATCGGGATGTCATCATCAACTTCTTTCATGCCATTCCCAATGTTCCAAATCTACTCATCGACTAAGGCCTTCGTGAGACAATTCCACGATTCTATTAATATCGAGTACGCAGGGAAGATCGACGCGATCTCATACGCCCCTTGGTACGTCGCAACTGAAATGACAAAAATCAGAGAAAAGGCAATTTACGTGTTAAGCCCACAAGAGTTCGTCGAAGAGTCATTTAAACACATTGGATTCGAAACACACATCGACCCATACTGGTTCCACTATTTGATGGACTTCGGAGCGTGGGCTATTCCAACTGCTATTTATGGGAAACTCGTTGCTAAAGAACAAGTCTTTGTCAGAGGAAGACTGTTGAAAAAGCTTGAAGAGAAACAGGCATCTGAAAAGAAGAAAGAGTAAGTTATGGTGCAATTACTATTTTATTTAACAAAAGAACTAAAACCTTTCTTGAATGTAAAGTATAATAACACTCTCGCCATATTCTATTGTTGTGTCATTTCATTATTATTATAAAACTATTATTAAGTATTAATAAAATTATAAATTATTATTAATACAATAAATGTTATTATTAATATAACAATAGAATTAATGTCAAAGAGTTGTAATTATTTTAAATATGATTACATTAAAACCCCTCAATATTGGGTTCCCTCAATAAGACCACCCCTCAATATTGGCATTTATTGACCAATAAAATCAGTTTTCCATTAATAAGGGGTTTAGTTTTTAAATAAAAATTGTTTAAAATAACGGGGGTTAATTGCCTAAGGCATAAAATTGAATTGTGTGTTATTGTTTAATTAACAAAAAACGAACAAAAATACACTGGTTATAAAAGTTATAATTGACCATCTAAAATTTCGACCGTTTTATTAACTTTTTAACACAAAAAACTTTATCATTCAGTTAAAATTTCCATATATTTAGTCTTCACTGCTTCAACACTGTCGCACAGACTACTAAGTCTTTCTTTCATGTAATCAATTTCATCTTCTACAATACGAATTGCTTCTTTCATTGCCATAATTTTTTCTTTTTTCCTTGAAACTTTGTTTTGAATTTTTTCTGCTTCAATCATAGCCTGTACTTCCTGACCTCTAAGAGTTAATGGCCCGTATTCATCTGCATCGCTTAAAGCTGGTGGAAAGTTTTCATCTGCTAATTCTTCTAAATTATAATCAACGCGTTGAATTGTTTGAACTTGAACAATGTTTCCAAATAAAGCATGTTTCCAAGCGTTTCGAATTGACTCAGAAGACACCTTTTCATTCCAACAGCAACATGCAATTTTCATAGCATCTCCAACATTCATTTTTGGAATCGTATATTCAGTATGCGCTCGTTGTGATGCAAGTAAAACATCACAATAATAATCACATAGCATCGTTCTATAATGGTTTTTAAGTGCCATTATAATACCAGAATCACACGGCTGAAACAAAGCAGTTGTTGATTTTGGAAGGAAAACCACCTTTATATTAATCAATTTAAGCACAAAACCATGTTTTTTCTTGTCGTTCATGCCCAAGTATTCATACCAATCATCAGAAAACACTTCGTTTACCCAAATATCCAATTTATGACTTGGAGCATTGTCTAGAATCAATAAAATGAAACGATTTTGTATTCTCAATTCCACTTCCCAATCTTTCAACCATTTGTGAAATAAATACGTTGTCATCCAAGAATTCGCTTGTGATACATAATTGTTTTTGACAACTGTGTATTCGGCTATTTTGAAGTATCTGGGTTTTGTTGATTTACCAATGAACAACAAAGGTTTTTTGGAACCAGTTAAAGAGCAACACACTAACATAGTGATTCTTTCTTTTGGGTTTTTTCCTCCAAAATTTGAAGAGCAACTTGAAAGAGTTTTTGATGGCAATAATTTATAAAACAACGCAGTTTCGTCGGCATTCCACACGTTGTCTTCCGAGTACTTTTCTATTTCTTCTCTAAGTTTAATTATATCTTCTGTATAATCACTTGGGTTAATAGCATTCGACTCTCCATTGATTCTTTTTGATTTCAGTTCATGTCTTTTACAAAAGCGATCCATCCAACCATTTGAAAACTTAACATCATTGATGTTTAGTTTATCTGCGCACTGTTTTGCAACTTTTCTTATGACGTCCAGAGAAATTGGAATGTTTGCTTCGCGTATTTCTTCAACGAAGTTTACAAGCATCTCTTCAAGATCTTCATGTTTTACATTATGCAAGGTTTTAGCTTTTAAAGTGGTTGTTATTTCCATGTAACCATCAGTCAAACCATTAACACGCAATATGCGCATAGTTTCTTTACCCGGAATTTTTTTAAAGTGTTTCCAAACTAAAGATAAAAGGATTTTGTCGTTTGGGATCGGGTTTGTGTTGGCCCATATAACTATTTGCTTTTTTTCTTCTAGAGATAATCTGACTCTTCTTTTTATTGGTTTTGTTGCAGAAAAAGACATATATTTTATTAGTTTTTGGCTATATTTTAATTATTGTTTACACGTGGTATTTATTAGTTATTTGATCTAAAAAACAAATCCAAAATTTAAAAAAACAAAATAAAAAAAATTTGAAAAAAAAACACTAATAAGGGGATTTTTTTCCCCAATGAATCTACTAATGAGGGGTTTTACTGTATTTGAAATAATTTGTAATGGTTTTTATCTTCAAAAATAGTTAGTAAATTTATAGTTTATTTTATTTGTTCATTACTAATTACAATTATTCTAAAAATAGTTTTAGTATATAAAAAGTCAACTATAATATAATATAATAAAAAAAATGAAATGTGTAAATAAATCATATAAACTATAATAAAACAATTATAAATGTTAAGAAAAACAGTTTTAAAAATATATAATTTATTTTGTATTCTAAATATAGTTAATATTTTTGACAAACCAGTTTTGAAATTATTCGAACAATTTACAAGTACAATTCTCTTATTCAATATGAAAAAGTAGAGCTGTTGTTTCGAACAACAATTTAGTTCCTTCAAATATGTTTTAGTTTCAATAAGTGAAATTGATAATAACAAAGGCTATAACTAATCAAGAATAGAAATAAAACGGTTTTTATAATTTGTGAAAATGGTTTACTTGTCTTTTTTAAATAGTACACAACTTTTTATTCAAATAATATGTACACAACAGCATTTATTTCATTCACTACAACTGCTTTAGTTTTTGGTGCTACTTACTTATTTAAGTACTTATTCAATTCTAACGAGGTTTCACAAATCACAAATGAACATACTTCTGTTGATAAGACTCAGACTTTATATTCTTCTGAACTTCACAACGAACTTCACAGTGATTCACAAAGTCACACGTTACCACTCACTCCTATGGAAGAAATGAAGTCTGTGAAGGAGAATATCCAAAATTGTACAGATAACTTAACCACCTGTGCTTTTGGAGAGTGCAAGATAACTCAACAAGGCATTTCTCCACAACCTAAAAGAGAATTAGATGATATCTCTCCAATACCAAAAGACAATACTGACTTAGACTTGGAACTATTTGGTGACGATTTTCAGCAACATTACAACGACTTTGTGTCACAACAGAACTTGTATCCCAATACCGAGAACGACAACACAGTAATGACTTTTGTTCCATTGGATAAAGTAATTAAGAGACAAGATGGAGGATTACTATGCTATGTAAAACCAAAGCAGTTTGATGATTTTGTTGATGCGAACAGGATTTTCAACGAAATAGACTCAAACACCGAATTCAAAAGAAAACAAGCAGAACAACAGAAACCTCCAAAGCTTAAATTTGTAAGACCTAAACGAGCAAGATCACTGAGTCCCAATGAAAAGAAAAAGGAAGAGAAGAAGCCAAAATCGCCTCGAAACCGATTTATTGGGAAGAAGCACAAGATCGCAAATACAAAAGAGAGTTTGGCAACATCTGAGGAAGTAGCTAATTTGGGCATTAATACTGAGGAACATACGACTGTAGTCAATAAAAAGAGAAGGAAACAAAAAGTTGAAATGAAAAAACGGTAAGTTTGAGAACACACAAATACTTACATAAGTCCAAATGACTTAAAATCCCTCTACAAGTTGCATAATATTGCAGTGCAATACTCACCGTGTGCCTTATTTTGTCAAATTACTTATTGAAATGGGTATTATTAAGAATAATAAAAAAATATCACCCTTTGTTTTTATTTTTGTTTCATTTTCTTGAAAAATAATCTAATTATAGAAGTGGTATAATGAAGAATGTTTTTTTTAATAATAATTGTAATTATTATTACAATAATTATTATTATTTAATAATAATTACAAAAAAGTAATTCTTTATTAAGTTGTTCACATTAAAATAAAATGCATTTGCCGGGACTCGAACCCGGATCTCCACCTTGGAAGGGTGGAATTCTGCCCTTAGACCACAAATGCTATTCATTTTAATTGATTAAAATTTTGGCATCACGAATAATTTATTATTCATGTCAAAGAAATAATTTATTGTAAAGATAACAACTTAAGTAAATAATCTTCATTATGAAATCAATTTAAAAAACAATTGCCAATTTGTTTAACCTCTTTACAAATATAATTAAAAACAAGACTCTTTGAAAACATATTATTTCAGAACATATAGTGACATCAATAATTTAGATGAGTGTATTTTCGGTAATTTTAGTTATTTATTGTTCCATATTGTCTATTTGTGTGTGTTGTTGTTAAAGCAATCAAAAATAATCGCTTGCAATAAACTAAAAGATTTCACCAGTTGCTTTTCGTGATTAGACTGACTTTAATACCAACAAAGTTCATTACTTAAAACAAATGGTCAGGAAGGAAATTAAAGCTTCTGGTCAAAAATACTTCAGAAATATAACTTCTCAATTATAATAAAATAAATTATATTTATGGTTTGCATGAATAGACTACTTACGTGGTAAACCAAAAAATGGCCAATCAGAAGAAAGTGGACTTTCTGCTGTATAAAAGGACTCTCAACGAACTTGAAGCCAGAGAATGAATACTACTGAGTGTAACCTGAACTGTAATAGTCAAGACATCACTGCAACATGTTCAAGAAGTCAAGAGACATGTCTCTGTGAATTGAAGTGCAAATGTGGAGCGAGTGGACGTGTCGAAGGAAAGAAAGTAGATGGGAAGTATGAGACAACTGTCACATCTGATCGTATGGACATCACAACAGATTGTTCAAATGGATGTCGATTGGTTGCAAAATGTACTTGTGGCGTCTCAAAGGTTGTCAACTGCACACACAACCCACAGAGTGGATGTTCGTGTTCATGCACACACTGTTCTTGTTGTTGTGGAAAGCATTAAAATGACTTGTTTGTGTTATTTGATTTATTGTATTTTCCTTTGATAATTAGTACCGATCCATAACATACCAAACAAAAGTAAAAATCCATAAAAATTCAATGTATCATGAAATAATGGATAATATTTCATAATACAAAAACAAAGAAATCACTTCTTGTGACTTCGCTTTGCGTCAAAGCTATGGTACCCACCGCCTCTTATCCTCGATTGAACAGCCAACGTGTTTTTGATTTGTTTGTAGAAAATGTAGTTTTCATCAATCTTTTTATCGAAAAGTCCGTATTGTTGATTGGTTTCCAGTGTGTCATTCAACACGTCCAGAAATCGAAATATTTGCTCAAAGTCATACCCGTTCTTACAGAAATGGCGATGGACAAATTTTCCGATTTCCCAGCTGAAATAGCCATCTGGTTTGTCGACAAACTCATTCACAATGTTATTCCCAAACTCTCTGCTTTTCAGTACGTGTGTCACCTTGACTCAAATTTTTTTGGCTACAAAGAAATAGAAAAAATGCAAACTTTTTACCAGTGGGAGAAAGATCTGTATATCCTTTCACCTTCATCAAGACGTACCTGAGCCCCATCCGTCTCATCGTCGAGTCTTTCCACCTCAGTACTTTCTTTTCGACGTCATTAAATACTTGTTGAATATCCCACTCATGTGAAGTGATTGGAATAATAGTTTCGTAGTTAACCCCCTTTTGAATGATTTCCGTGAGATCTAAGTTGATGGAGTTCACGGAGAAGTCCGAGATGGGTAGGTGTGTTGATACCTTAATATCCACCATACACCCCAACGACCCGACACTAACAAGTGCCCAAGGGACTGGTTCTGTCACGAGTGCTTTATTAACAAAAAACGAAGGAATATCCTTTGTGTTATTACGTTGTTGCGGATTACCCTTTTTGAATTGGAAGTGTTTGAATCCAACTGGATAAGTACTTCAAAAAATTTTTAAAAGATTTGGAGTTAAAAACGTGTCGTAAAAATAGCAAACGTTAGGAGAGAGCGCCTTTTTGTTCTTCTTTGAGATGAGTAGTAGTGTGTCTTCCTCGGCCTGGAGGACGTTGTCGAATTGCGCGTTTTTAACTTGAAAGGCAACATCGATGTCAAATATGTCAATTGATTCGGGGTCGTCGTACATGAGTGACCTCACGGAGGATCCAATCAACTCGACACGTTCCACTGAAATACCGTTTTTTTCTAAAGTTGTGTACAATGTATTAAGTAATGTGTATGGTGTTGTGACTATTTTAAAAGTGCCATCATCATTGATCAAGTTTTGTGGAGTTATTATCAACCGCATCTGCAACATCTCGCGAACGTACACGAGTCTATCCGCTGACATGAAAGTTGATCTTTTCTCCGTTTTAGCCATTTTTAAAGGGTTCTATTTTTTTAGTTGAAAATATGGGGGTTTTCTTCCTCTCTTTCAGTTTTCAAAAAGTATTCAGAAAAACATTTTTAAAGACCAAATAATGTCTTTCTCTTACGACATTCTGAATAACACTTTTTATCTACACTTTAATTCAAAAAGTAATTCCTTTTTTTAAAGAATTTGAGTTGAAATTGTTGAGCAAAAATATATAAACAATTATTATTATTATTTCAGTTTATAGTAA